ACATTTAATTTCTCTATAAGTAAACCCATGACTAAAATGTTGCTTTATGTTAAATATAAGACTCTTTTGAATAAATGTAGCACACCTGAAAAGCTAATGCCATTTGATAGTAGTTATAAAAGTAGTGAAAATATTTTTAAAAATTAGTTAACAATATTGCTTCAGGAAACTCACTTTCTCTTTTATACAATCGCAAATTGAGAGATAGATTCTTTGTGAATGAAAGTAGAATTTTATCTGACTATGATTTATTAGAAAGTTTAAGGGTATTTAAATATAGTCATAACTCACTGGTGCTGGCGGGTTGCACTTGCAATTCTAGCTACTCAGGAGGTTGAGATCTGGGAATTGCAGTTTGAAGCCAGACCGGGCAGCAAAGACCATGAGACTCATTGCCAACTACTACCAGAAAGCTGCAAGTGAAGCTGTGACTCTTGTAGAAGAGTGCAAGTCTTCAGCACAAAAGCGCAGAGAGAATACCCAGGCCTTCAGTTCAAGCTGAAGAACAGACACAGACAAAAAAGGCATACAAATAACTCCTCTAAAAAAACAGTGGCATTACATCAAAAAGGGTCTAATTACAGAGTTATATGAAATAAGGAACTTAATGTATAGAACCAAATTTTTTTAATTTCTTGTTTAAAAACAGAATATTGTCTAAATTAGTTTGTAATGATCTCATGATCTAAGCATTCAGATTTTATACTGGGGGTAGGAGTAGAATGATTATTACTTTTCAGAAGAATTTATACTTCTTGGAGAACATTATTAGTTTGCAAGTACTTATCTCCAACAAGTTCACTTAAAAAAGGTCCTAAATCCAAAGTTCTTCCCAATGTCCTGGCATCTTGGGAGTCACTTGGTCTGTTGGGCAGAGACAATTCAAATTTGGTGAGCACATAAAAGAACTTTAGTTTTATGTGTCCTAAAGATGTTTAATTCTCTTTGGTGGTTTTACTTGGTAATAGCTATGCCCCAGAAAACCATTTTGTTTAACCAATGTGATAAGTTGACAATGTAGTTTTTCTCTCTGATTATAATGTACTCTGTGTAGTCAATACACTGGTACCATGTGAGTGTAATTTCCTCTTTTATTTTATCTCCAATGCACTGTATTATAAATAAACAGTTAAAAAAAACACCAAACAAATCTGTTGCATCTCCTTTTAAGATTGTACCACTGTAGACACTTGTTCTAGTAAAGTAGAATTGGGCGCATTTGATTGCATTTAAATTTTTCATGCTTCAGCAGTTTGGCTGGGAGCACAGTAAAGAAAAATCCCATGAGCGAGGATAGTTTAGAATAATAGAACTTGATTTTGTGTATTATAGCGGCAACATTTGCGCTGCTTTAGTTAGGGTTGTGTCAGCACTTCCATTATAAACCCCTGTTTTCAGGGGGTATAACTAGGAAGATTTTTTTTAATACAAATTAAAAAAAAACAATTCATTTGAATGATTTTAAGTTATAATAGTGCAAAAATAAAACAAAGTAAGTCATATAGAAATTGACCATTTTCATAAGGATTTTAATTTTCTTTTCCTTATTAGTTGTATATGGCACCAGCTAGGGTAGGGTGCTACTCTACTATATTGGGAGGACATGAAGATTTTTGTAATAAAAAAATCACTGATATAAGGATTAAAAATAAGTATGAACAATCCATGCTGTGTTTAAAAACATTAATTCATAAACTGTATTTGAGTTTCTAAAAACTCATAAACTGTATGAGTTTCTAAAGGAGAATAACTATGGTGAAGTGGTTATAGTAAAGAAAAATGTTTGTTCAGGTTCTAATTCAATGCATCTAATAAAATATTTTTAAAACGATAGCTTAAGAAAGGGAATGCATGATAATACCACCACTAAATTGAATAATTATATGACATAATTGTGTAAAACACCTAGTAAAGTCAAATCTGATAGTAAATTTAAGATTTAATTAATAAACTGTGTAAAATTTTATACATTTTTTTATCTTAAAGAACCTCCCCACCTAGAACAAAATAATAACAAAGATAACAAAAAAAAAAAGAGTTTTAAAAAGCCAAATAACAATTTTATCTACAGGAATTCTCAAAGTTTTATTTATTAAAAGAATAAAAATAAATCATTTTCCTCCTTGAATAACATATTTAAGAAATGTGATGAAATGAACAAATGAAATCAAATACGTTCAATATAGAAAGGTATTCTTGGAATGAGACATTCATTTCTTTGCTGAGGAATTTCAAAGTTGAATGTATTTTCCTTAGTTGCTAGCCATTGTTTTTCTACCTCCCTCATGGTCCATTTCCCTAATGATAGTGTGAACTAAAGAAGACGATTAGACTACTGCTTTTTGTCTTTTTTTTTTTTTGGCAGCCTATCTTCTATTTGCAGCCTTGACACACATTTGTATTTGTAGGTGCAAAATAAAAGACAAACTGTGTGATGCTATAAATAAGTAGCTTTCCTGAATGGTCACTGGAGGAATCACCAGAAGACTGTTGATGAAGTAGAGGTGAAGCCTTTCCTCACTAATTGTATTCAGCGTGTAATTTCTAAACTTCCCTCTGAATTTTGATTTTCAATTAACACTCCCCATTTGAAGATAATTTTCTATTTAATGTAATTGCAGGAAATAATTTATTGGCTGATTAAGACTGAGGACCCAGCCTTCCTTAAGAAAACACTCTAACAAACCAGCCTTTAAACTCAACTCATAGCTTTGGACAGATTTAGTCTATTTTTACAGCTGCACGGTTGTGTTTAATTAGGATTGTGCACTATTGTTCACTGGCACAGTTTCTAGTTGAATTTATGTTTAAGAGACTGTTTTCATTTTGGGTTTTGTGTCATGATTAATTTATACTAAAGCAACAATCACAGTTACTGCTATTGGTAAGGGACAATTCACTTTATAATAAGAGGATATTTGTGGAGGGGAGCTAAAGTCACTCTGAATTTTGGATCATGACTTTCAATTTTATTTAGCTGTTTTAAAAAGAAGCAGTAAATTAATTCTTTTGCTTTAAAAATATGAGTGATTACATAACTGGTAAGTATCCATTATCTGAACTATGAAAACACTGTTATTTTTAGATAGGTCTTGGTAAACTTACAAAAGTTATAATTTGCCTGATTTTACTATAGTGTTGATGGGGCTGGTAAAGTAAGCTCTGTAATGATTTTTGTATACCAAGAAGCATCATTTGGTAATCATTTTTTCATGTATGTGTGCACTTGTCCATTTAAGTACTGATAGTGCTCATACATGCATTTGTATGATTTTTTTTTAAATATAACACACTTTAAACATTCAGTTCTTTTCTTCTCAAAGAAAATATAGGCACTCTTCTGCAGTCTCTTTCCTCATCTTATTTTTTTCTATCAAGTCTAATAGATGAAATTTTTATTATTTGTAGAATGATTATTATAAGTAGGTATCAGCATTTTAATATGTTTCAAAGCACTTCAAAAGCTTGTAATACTTTTATTTAGAACTATGCATAATTAGATAAGCTGATCTTATATTAATTTTTTTCACTGTAGGATACTAAATCTGAGCCCCCTCATTAATTGTGAGAAATTTAGCATTAGCTGTTAAATCCTATGTGAAACATGGGCTGCTACATAAAAACTACTGTTTAAATTGGAATTAACTTAATTATTTTTCTTTGCACTTGATATTTCCTTCACTGCAATATTCATGAAAGCATGTGACAGATTTGTAAATTTAACTGTTAATCTCAGATTTCTAGACCCTTTAATCAGTATTTATTTGTCTGTGGAAACAGTACTAGCAAGTTAATGATTTGCTAATTTGAAAAATGCTCATGTGGTTTTCTATGTTAACTGATTTGTGCATTAAAAATAGTATGAAATCAATTAATGTTAAAGAGCAATTAAGGTAGAGGATTTATTCCTTTTATTACACAGCAATTTTAGAGCTAGAGACTCAATAAACGAAAAACAATATAAAGTTTTAGAAAAAATGGTTTCTTTTGTTAAGGTATAACTTTTAGAGGTTTTATTACTTACCATTTTGCTAAGAAATTCATCTTGATAAAGTGATATTCCAAAAGTTTCAAAATTCTGTTAAATAATCTTGATTTTCTGATTGCATATAACAGCACAGAATGAAGACTATTTCATACAGAGTACAATAGATGTTTATTTGTAGATTATAAAATTAATGTTCAATGTTGTTTTGGAAGCTTTTTAAATACGTTTCAAAATGACAGTGTTAGGCCTGTCATTCATAATGCAAGGTATAAAGTTATAAGTAAGTATGAGATTTGCTTAAGAGTTTCATTATAGATTATTTACTCTTAATTATATTTTTGAACATATATTTATTTTGTTCCTATATAAACCATAGGAGAAAGTTGGATAGTTTTGCTTGCTACAAAAACTGGCTCATTAGATATTTCATTCATTTCATTGCTAATCATCCGCCTAATTACTTTGTGATAGGGCAGGGTGTGGGGTGGGTGGGTCATGGTGCCTGAACTGTGGGCCTGGGCACTGTCCCTCAGCTCTTCAACTTAAGGCTAGTGCTCTACCACTTGAGCCACAGCACCACTTCCAGCTTTATGTGGTGCTGAAGAATCAAACCCAGGGCCTCATGAATGCAAGGCAAGCACTCTAACACTGAGCTACCTTCCCAGCCAATTTACTTTCAAAAAGCTTATACTCCAGTTGGGAAAACTAGGAGGAAAGATGTACACATATGTTGTACATGATGAAAATTTACTCTATTAAAAATTTTATTTTTTGATTTGGATAAGACAATTACTGGGAAAACATTTTCTAAGTTGAAAAAAGGAAAGAGGGAAAGTAGAATAGATAAGCCAAGAATTTAAAGTGGCTCACTACTGATTTAGAATATCTCTAAATTCTGAGAGTTTCTTTTTTCCTGTTTTTTCCCCCTCTGAATGAGTTAAATGCAAGGCATAGCTTATCTTTTGATGTTGATTTCCCCTTTTTAATGCTTGGGGTTTTCTTCCTTCTGCAGAAGAATGTCTTCCAAGCAAGCCACCTCTCCATTTGCCTGTGCAGCTGATGGAGAGGAAACAATGACCCAGGATTTGACCTCAAGGGAAAAAGAAGAAGGCAGTGATCAACATGTGGCCTCCCATCTGCCTCTGCACCCCATAATGCACAACAAACCTCACTCTGAGGAGCTCTCAACACTTGTCAATACCGTTCAACAAGATGCTGACTGGGACAGTGTTCTGTCATCTCAGCAAAGAATGGTGAGCTTTTACAATATGCTTGTGGCTACTAAGGTTGTTAGTATATCCTAGTTATAAATAGACATTTTAGGGCAAGTTCAAAATTAATGGTATCAGAGTTATTTGTGTTCAAGTAATAAAACAGCCATGGGGAATATAATTACTATAAAACTTGGAAGCTAGGCACTGGTAGATCCCTTCTGTAATCAGGAGGCTGAGACCCGAGGATCAGGGTTCCAAGCTGGCCCAGGCAAGAAAGTCTGTGAGACTCCTATTTCCATTTAATCAGCAGAAAAGGCCGTGAAACTCTTTATCTCCATAAAAAAAGCTGAAAGTGGAGATATGTCACAAGTGGTAGAGTGCTAGCCCTGAGCAAAAGAAGCTCAGGGACAGGGCCCAGATCCTGAGTTCAAGCCCCCCATGACTGGAACAAAACAACAAAATATGGAAACTGGTTTGTTTTTATGTCCACTGCTAGGTCCACTTGACCAAAAATACTTTATTTAATTATCTGTCTATGTATCTATCTATGTACTATGTATGTATGTATGTATATATGTATGTATGTATCTCTCTCTCTGTCTTTATTGTATGGGAGAGAGTTGGTTTCTTAGTCTCTGAATCCTTAAATAAAATGAGATGAACTTGATAATATCACAAAATAGGTATGATGAAACAGTGATTCTATAGTCATATTGAAAAATTCAGTCAAGAAAATGTATATATGGATAACTATAAAAATTTCCTTATTTCAATAAGTAAATGCTAGTTTTTATAATTTGTGAATATAATAAAACTTTTCTCATGTTCCTATATAGTAATTGTAAAAGGACATCAATGCTCCTGAGTATCACAGAGTCAGACTGCAGGACTTTGCTCTAAAAGCAGAAATAACACATCGAATAAATACAGAGTGTTAGCCAGTTCTCTTGTGTTAAATTCTGTCTTTTAATCATCAAAATACAAAGCATAATGACGTTAATTTTCTGGTTTCAAGCAAAAAACTTTTATTTTTAGCAGTAAGAAGAAACAAATCCTTAATATTTTTATTTTTTATTTTGCATCAATACTGGGAATTTAACACTGTATTATTCAAACCTGGTGCACTACCACCTGAGCCACAGCTCCACTTTCAGCTTTCATTGGTTAACTGGAGATGAGCGTCACATGGGCTTTTCTATCTTAGCTGGCTTCAAATCACCATTCTCATATTTTTGCTACAAGCAAAATTTTGGGTCTTGGCAACTGCTAAGTTTCTTTTGTCTCTAGTTTTTGTTATCTAAAATTTCATCAGAATATGTATATGAAAAATGTATAGGCTAGGCACTGGTGGCTCATGCCTGTAATTCTAGCTACTCAAGAGGCTGAGATCTGAGATTGTGGTTCAAAGGCTGTAAGACTTTTATCTCCAAATTAACCTTCAATTAACCTTTTATCTCCAATTAACTTGAAGTGGAGCTGTGGCTCAAAGTGGTAGAGTACTATCCTAGAGCCTAAAAGCTCAGGGACAGAGCCTATTCCCTGAGTTCAAGTTCCACAGCCAACAAAAATTTTGCTTATTAGCTAGACACAGGTGGTTCATGCCAATAATCACAGCTACCCAGGAAGAGGAGGTCTGAGGATCATGGCTCAAAGCTAGCCCAGTCAGGAAAGTCTGTAAGACACTTATCTAAAATCAACCAGCAAAATGCCAGAAGTAGAGCTGTGGCTAGCCTTGAGCAAAAAATCTCAGGGACAATGTCCAGGTTCTGAATTCAAGCCCTAGAAGCAACCCACACATAAAAGTATATTAACTTTTCTATTAATTATATTAGATAATGATACATAATAGTATACATAGTTTAAAGTTATAAATACATTTTGTATTAGTGTGCAAAAATGATACTACTAGATATGTCTCAAATTTTTATTGTTTTGTTTTTGTGACAGTACAGGGTCTTGACCTCAGAGGCAAAGGTGCTGTATCTGAATTTTTATGCTCAAGACTGACATTCTACCACTTGAGCCATTGCTCCATTTACAGCTTTTTTTGCTGGTTAATTGGAAATAAGAGTCTTATAGATTTTCTTTGCCTGGGGCTTGCTTTAAACCATGATCCTTAGATCTCTGCCTCCCAAGTAGCTAGGATTATAGGCATGAGCCACTGGTGCCTGGTTTTTCATTCTCTTTTGATACCAAACTTTTCCTTCCCCTGGAGCCTTTGCGTATCCTAAGTGTCAGGAAGCTAAAATATTTTGCCTTAACTCCCACTCCAGAGTACTTCCCAGCTGTGAACTCACATGGTATAATAAAAGGATTTAACAAATGGGAAATAGCAGCTGCATTTGGACATTTCTCTTATATCCTCTTTTCACTAGATTCAATGATGTGTAACAACTGTAAATCAGACCTGTAATGACATACAGCAAGTATAAGTCACTATCCAATTTTTCTTTATTGGAAAAATATAGAAAAATTGTAGGTTGCCAGGCCAACTTAAAAGCCTACACATTGTGTGTGTGTGTGTGTGTGTGTGTGTGTGTGTGTGTGTGTGTGTGTGTGTGTGTGTGTGTGTGTGTATTTGAATGGGAAGACTGTGATTGGCTAATAAATGTATAACTCATTAAATAAGAAATATAAGTTGGGCAACAGTGGCTCTTTCCTGTAATCCTAGCTACTCAGTAGGTTCAGATCTGAATATTGCAGTTCAAAGCTGGGGCAGAAAGGTTCAGGAGACTCGTATTTCCAATTAAATTGCCAAAAGTCAAAAGTGGAGCTATGATTCAAGTGTTAGCTCACTAGCCCTGAGGAAAAAGCTCTGTAACAGTGTCCAGGCTCTGAGTTCAAGTCACAGAACTGCCCTCCCCCACCCAAAAAAAAATCCTAAAAACCAACAAACCAAATTCCAAATAACTAGTAAATCTAAAAAGTGTTTATGAAGTGTCCTGAAACTTGTAGATCCTACCAGTGGATCACATTTTAATACATAAAATGATTTTGGAGAAATAAAATTTAAAAACAATTCTAAAAACAACAAAGAACTTGCTAGCACCTATTCATTTTTTACTGTTATGTAGTTCCTGTGATGGGCATCATTTTTGGAACAGAAACAGCCCCAAGAGTTTCCTATTTCTTGGGTTCACGAAGAGTTTTAACCTTGAAATATCACAACCAGAGAGGAAATTTTCTGTAAGGAAAGGTAAAGAGAATGCAAAGAAGTTCTGCTAATCCCCACTTCCTGATTAGGAATAAAATCTTGATACTTAACAATTCTGATTATTGGTAGGTGGAACTCCAACAATATAAGACAACATAGTTTTAAACAACCACATAAAAAAGAAGTTGTCTCAGGAGAATAGTCATTTTAGAAATAGAAGTCCAAAGACTAGTGTTCTACAAACATTTGTAGACTCTGATTATAAGTATAATTATGTATAGTATGAACAACAGAATGTTTAATTTTAAATTTACTGTGTAATATTAATTGCTGACCTGTATGTGGTTGCTAAAATGTTCCTGTATATAAGATTTTACTCACTTTCTCTATGTATAAGCATTGTTGTTTTCATCATGGCATCAGCAGATCAATAACTTTTTTTGCAGAGCATTGACAAAATATGGTTTTGCTCTCATTAGGATTGCCTTATGAGGTAGGAATAAATTTACACAATATTTCCATGAAATATTGTATAGTGCATTATTCTCTTTAATGTTATAGCTATGGGAGAACATAGTAATGTTTAGTGGCTAGTATATAATATTAAAAGTAATGATTTTCTGCTAGTTTCAAGTGTAGGAAGGACAGGTAAGCCTATGGATTGTGAGCAAACCTGTAAAATTTCTATAGCTTTCTTGGTCAAAATGATATATGACATCCTGCATTTCTTTTTTCCCCCTCTACAGCATAATTTAAAGCGGTATTGTTACCATAACTAGTTACTTATTAAAAAGTCCCTACAAAGATACAAGTAAAAGAATTTGTGAAAAACAGATAATCATTGTTTTCATGGAATTTAAACAATAAGAGACTTAGACAATTTCTGACAGTGATAACTGCTATGAAAAATTAGATAATATGGCAGAGAATGACCAAACAGAAAGTCGTTTTTTAAAAATATTCTGGTGGTACTGAACTCAGTGCTGCAGGCTCCAAAGGTTGTCAGGCCCTTTATCATTTAAGCCATGCAACCCTCCCTAAACAGGTCTGCTTGAAGAGGAAGCATTATGGCTGAAATTGGAATAATAGGAAGCCACCTGTGTAACAATTTGTGGGAAGACACACAACCACAGTGTATAATAAGTACATTTATTTTTCATATTACTGTTTGAACTCAACGCCTTTTTGCTCATTAGACAGGCACTGTATCACTTACGTTAAGCCCCAATCCCTTCTGCTTGGTTACTGTTTGCATAGACAGACCAATCTTAGAGCAATACATGCTCATGCCACCACTCTTGCCAAAGTCTTTAGATTGCTCTATTGGAATAACAGAAAACAACAGAGTGCTGTAGTGGAAGAAAATGAGATGAGACGAAATCAAGGAGGTAGGCAGAAGACATGTTATGAAGTCTTAGATTTATTTTATTTATTTATTTATTTTTGTCGGTCGTGGGGCTTGAACTCTGGGCCTCCTGGGCACTGTCCCTGCGCTCTTCAGCCCTAGGCAAGCACTCCACCTCTTGAGCCACAATGCCACTTCTGGCTTTCCAGTGGTTTATTGGAGATCAGAGTCTCACAGACTTTTCTGCCTGGGATGGCTTTGAACCACGATCCTCAGATCTCAGCCTCTTGAGTAACTAGGATTACAGGTGTGAGCCTGTAAGATATTTGACTATTTCAAGTTCCAGCGGAAACCAATGGAAGATTTTAAGCAAGGCTGTAACATAGTTATGCTTAGGCATTAAAAGATCTCATTGCCTGTTGTGTACAGAATGGGAAATAAGTCCGAAGCAGAGAACCTGCCAGGAAACCATGGCCATAATGCTAGTTTGGTGAGAAGTGAAAGAGTAAATAGAGAGGTTATTTACTGAAGAGTTTACAG